ATTCTAAAATAACCTCCTTGTGAAACATGGCTACGCACTCATGAAACCACTTAGCACAGGCTGACTGACTGCTTTCGTGTTGCTGGCATTTGGGACACAACACTGGATAAAACTAATCTAGTTTTTATTTAGTGGATTACAATTTTATGGCCAGATTGCTACTTGAGGAACATGATGTCATATTGCCTAAAATGTGGTCTTTGCCATCGGGGAGATCTGGACGCTAGCACTGAGCTAGCCTATGCATGGTTGTGTGACTTCAATTCCTTGACCTCTCCCAGCCTTGTTTTAATTCATAAAATAGCATAGCTACTTTCAGAGTGGTTACTGTTCTAAGCTGATTGTGGTGCCTGGAACTTAGATTTTTTAAGTTAAGAGAATCTTTTATTTGGTTTCTGACTTGTGCTCTGAGTAACATTTTGGCCATTCTTTTAAGATCATGATACACAGTATATTAGCTGTTGTTTTCTCTAATTATTTTGCTATGGAATTTTTTATAGAAGCAGAATGCTTTTTATATTTTCTGCATTAATATTTACTTGTATTGCATTAAAATAAGAAAATAAAAAAGAATGCAGGCAGAAGTGGATTACAAGGATAGTTGCATAACTCTGCAAATTTACTTTAAAAACTCATTGAATTGTACACTTAAGATGCATAAATTTTTAAGGATCAAAATGTATGATAGATAATGTGAAATAGGAAGAAAATTCCAAAGGGGAAGGGGAAGTGGGAGGGGTAGCGGAAAGGAAAGAAGAGAAAGGAATACCAGAAAAGGAAAAAATGGAAACAAAGTCTTTGTAACAGGGAGGGGTGGAGGGGTGAAGGGAGGGCAGAGGAAGGGGGAAAAAATAAGAACCAAGAGAGATTACGAAAAGGTGAAGGTTCCCCAATGATGAATGTCACCATATTGTATACCTGAAATGTACCAATAAAATTAATGAATAAGAAAGATGCATGGATTTATAGTAGGTAAATCAGACCCCAACAAAGATGGAAAGACAAGGGAAAAGACGACGGGAAAGAAGAGGGAGGGGCGGAGAGTGTGGGGGAAAGGGTAAGAACTCTGCAGGCAGACAGGAGCTCACCAGGCGGAAGGGAGAATTCCAGCCAGAACAGTGCAAGGGAGCTTCTGGTGGTGAGTCTTCAGTATTGTGCTACAGTTTTTTGTCGTGATTCATGACATAGTGAAGAAATCTAAAAGCTTTTGGGCCAGAAATGGACAAACACTGTGTTTGCTCCTTAGGAACGCAGCTAAGAGCAGCAAGAAACACACCTAAATTTTCAGGGGAGGTGCAGAGCGTAAGCTCCAGGTCTGATTCAGGGCACAGAACTTTTCTCTCCCACTATTTTTCACATGGATGATTCCAGAATTTCAGACTGGACTTGTACTTTAACAACGCCCTAGGGAACGCCCAGGGGAAGGCCGACCTAAAAGTGCCACTGTGATTCAAAGCTCAGCTGGCTGAAATCTAACACCCCACATTCAAATCTGCAGCATCTTGGCCTCCGTATTGCTCCCATCCCAAGACACTCTGCGCCCTCTTCCTGGCCCTCTCTCTCTGGGATCTGAGCCCTCCTTTCTGGCCCCTCTGCCAGCCTGATCCCGATCCTCATCACCTCCAGGGTGGCCACGCCTCCTCCCCGGTCCCTGCTTGCTGTCTGTATTACAACTGCTCAGGGGAGAAAGGCTTTTCCTCTTTCTGAAGCGGATGTCTCAAAACAGTCTGTGACCCCCGAAAGGTCACACTGCTCAAAGAAGCAATGTGAGTGAATGCGAGAAACCAGGGTTCATTCACGCTGCTCTTTCATCCATCCAAAGGTCTGGCTCTGCTGAACTTAGAGAGACGTGTATGGTCCCATGGCTGGTGCAGGCATCATTTCCCAAGGCCACTTTTTTTTTTTTTTTTTGGTACCGGGGATTGACCAAGGCCACTTTTATACTTTAGCTTCGGGCTCCAGATCCCAGAAAATCTCGCCAGGCCTCTTCTGGTTTATATCCAAAGTGAAACACATTTTTACAATTCTCTACTAGGTCATGTTTAATTATATAAAAAAAAACTATCCTCAGAAGCATTTTGGAGCTGGAACATATGTGCTAACTGCACTCACACATCTGAGAGCAGTTTTTGTGCAGGTACAGGACAGTGTGTATTAAGACTCCAGGGTATTTCATGAAATAAACGAATGGGAACCGAAAAAATTATACCCAGGTAGTCATTATTCTATGCCATTAGCACAGGCATACAAAGCCACCTAGTGGAAAATTTTTAATATATTGTCTTATCAACAAAGGGACCTAAACAGAATAGTTTCAAAATCACTCAGATGTCGACGTGGCTCATTTTCCTCTACTGCCCAGTTTTGCTTTTCCCTTGAAAAGATATAAAAACTAAGGTATTGCCATGTGTGAAAGTCATTTAATTGGGCTGTGTGGTACAAAGCATGATTCAGAGAGGGGCAGAGAAATACACCCAGTTTTACTGCTTTTTAAGCAACTGCTCTGATCTGCACTTGGAAACCTCAGAGTTAGGGCCATCTGGAAGAACTCAGCCTCCCAAGTTGTTGGGTAAGAGGAGAGGGCATCTCCTTCCTATATATGTGCATGCCTCTGGCACCTTGCAGAACCGATTATGTAAGATTCAAGGAATGTCTTGGTTTCTGCTGTACCTCTTCAGAAGAGTTAGAGGGAGTAGTACCCAGGAGACAGTGCCCACAAGATGAGCTCAAGCTCTGAGAACCAAGGGCTGTGTTTACCCTCTGTCCTCAGAGGCAGCAGAGCTGGGTTAGAGAACCCAAAATGATAGTTACAGGCCCAACATGGCTTCTTAGGTCTGATGAGGAGGTGGCATTAGGTGGGTGAAGAGTCAGATCCAGGGCCGGAAGGGGAGGACCCAGAGAGAAGCAGTTTGGGAGGTGCTTTGGGAAAGTGATGAGAACAAAGCCAGAAAGTGGACGAGTGTGTCATGGTGTCCCATGGACTGCTCCTCGGTGACGTAGGTAGAACTGAAACACAGGTGCTCCAGGGCGTGGAAGGGAGTAACAGGCCACTTAGCCTAGCATAACGTGAAAATATTTGAAGTCTCAATGCACTTAACACACTTAAACTGCAGGAGATCAGAGCAACGTAGAGCACTGCGCAGCGTCAGCTGTTTCCTCTCCTGATTGCCTGAGGACTGCCTGAAACACAATGCTATGGACTTAACCACTCCACTGCACCCAAAAGCCATTTCTTTAGTCCAGCCTTAAACTCTTCTGGAAAGCCTACTGCATACTAAGGCAGTGGATTCATCTGGGGACAACTCCAGCTTCTAGGAGGAAGCCCCACTTATTAGGCTGAAATCTTACAAGATCAGCCTTAGGTCCACGGGTAAATCCAGGATTTCTGTCTCTTTCATGACCTCTGAAGCCCACAGCCACAGCCTCTGTAAGAAGCAAATGATAGAATACTCTGGAATGATTTTCACTCTTGGCATAGCTGATGCTCTGGTTATTAAAGCATTTCAGAGATTCAGAGGGTCGCACCATGAATCTATCTCCTAGATACAAAGCTTGAAGTCTTGAACTTTACATTTCATTACATATGTTGACATTTCAAATAATTACTTCAGTTTGTTTGCCATGTGATATGCTTAGTTTCTCAAATTTATTTTATGGCTAAGTCTTCCAAGCAGGGAATAGGCACCATATGTTTGTCCATATCCACCCCATGTACCTCATACAGAAAGGAATGCTTGATGTTAGGTAACATAGAAGACACACTGCAGTGTAGGACTGTGTTGTTTTCCACATGCACTGCTAAGAGGCGAAGGTGAGCTACGCCACATGGCGCCATCCAGAGGGTCCCCAGCCTGTACCCCTTGTATCTCCTCCCCACCACACTCATGCCACCTGCAATGACCTCTGCAGAGGCTCATTCCTGCTGCAGACATGGGCTTCTGCTGTACCCGGACAGCTCTCATGCCAGCCCTGAGCCCTTCCTCCCGGAGGGCATGACCTGCCACAGAGTGTGACCGGGCCCTCATCACATGCTGTCTGAGTCGGAGCCCTCATCACATGCTGTCTGAGTCAGAGCGTCCTTCTGGAGTCCGTGTGCCGAAGCCTGACCCCCAAAGCGATGCATGTGAGCAGCAAGCATGCAGTGCCTGTGATGACAGGAGTATCCTCGCAGGAGGTGAAGTGACTGAAGCTTGCTCTCTGTGTGCAGGCACCAAGGAAAGACCACATGAGGATGTAACCAGGTCAGAGTGCTCACATGGATCCCAAACATGTTGGCATTGTGACCTCTCCCACGTACATCTCCAGAGCGATGAAAAGTAATCTTGGTGATTGAAGCTACCCACTCAACGGTATTTGTTATACAGTAGACAGGGCTGACCAAGACACTTACTGACTCCAACCCTTTCTTCTGAATGTGCTCCAGTGGCTTCTACTTCTCTGAACTACACTACTACACTGCAGAGGTAGAATAAGAGATATCATGAAATATTGCATGATAGATAATAAGACATATCAGTTCGTTTCACCAGTTCTGGGGACCATGTCACCCAGTATTCTTGAGGCCATGGCTCTGCTCACACGCCATAATCCTCACCTTCCCCACACCAGGATAAACCTCCCTCTCTTGCCTTGGTACTCCTTTTAAGAGTCTATCTTTCTAGGACCATGGACAACAATCTATGGTGAATACTCATGTTGTTCTATCTACACAATGAGCCTCATGATAGATACCAAGAGAAACAAGAGGCTGTCTCACCTGAGAGACTAAGAAAGTAGCCTGAGACACAAAGCAAAATATTTAATTACATCCCAGCCAGCTATTTCCAAAGTCAGGGAAGTGAAGGCAGCTCAAAGAGTGGGAGATCTGTATGCACCAAGATGAATGAGGGTCATTCTGAAGGCACACAACACCTGGCAGTGCAACTGCAAACTAAAGAGGAGTAAGGATCCACTCGTTCTGCAAAAATTCATTTTTACACTTATTACACACCAAGCGCAGGAAGGAAAAAATTTATTTAATTAGGATCAGGAGAGTGTTCCGATATAGCCTCCTTTCCAACAGCATCAACGATTCCCCAAGTGTTCAAACGCTTTGCTGAATGAGCCTCTGGCAAGTGGCAGGAGTGCCAAAATGAGGTAACACTTCCCTTGCGGTAGGCCAGTGAGAAGGAAAAGATCATGAGCACTGTGTGTCCACGTCTGTCCCCAATTATGATTGACTTTCACTCTGCTCAGATGCACCGAATGTAGATACCCTTGTAACTTACCCTTGCATCTCAGTTGCTTCTGCAACTGAGTTACTGAGTCACTGGGTTAGGCCTGAAAGAATATAAAAGCCTGCTGATCACTCATGGAATGGAGGGTACGCACGGGTTCATCATGAAAGGGCCTGAGCATTCCAGGGACCTGGGCATATTTTCCTTCACTGTCACCTGCAGAGGCCAGAAACCCAAGTTCAAATACACCAGAAGCCCAGCGTCAGAATGTAACAGAACTGAGACTTCAGAGAGGAGACCTTATGCCAAAAATGGCAGATAGTTTATTTTACTTTTGACCACATGCATATTCTTGGCATTAAAACTCCCTGCTAGATAGAACTGGCATCTTACAGTGCAGTGTTAAGAGAATTCTGATCTGCAGGCTCAGTGAGAATGTGCAGAATGCGTTCAGTTGCTGATGCACGAAGCCTGCCTCCAGCGCGGAAGGAGGAAGCAGTAGAGCAGGGACAGTGGCGGGTCTGCAAGCGAGATCAGCGCTCTCCATCCACACTGGGAAAGTGGGGCCAGCAGGACAGCCTCACAGCAGGCCACAGCTCATACCTCAGAATACCAACTCGAAGGCCTGGATTTCTTTTTCTCACATTGTGCATCTTTCTAGTTCATCTCAACCTTTGCTTGGGAAAAAACAAGCATACTAAGTAGACATGGACTTGAAGTCAGGAGATCCTGGATTTGATTCTGGCCTCGATGGCTAAGAAAATGAGAAGATACTAGAATTTCCTACAATCACAAATCATCAACACCAGGTCATAAAGACAACGGAAGGGATCCATTCCACGGACAAAAATACAGACCCAGAGGAGCTGGATTAAAACACTTCTCAAAAGTTTCATTCCCTTAGTGTCTTTCATTCCCTTAGCACTCCCCACCCTCGTCTTTCCTAATTTGTAAAATCTATTTATGTGACAAGCATCAGGCGATAATTAGAGGTGACATAAAGATAAGCCAATGGTACTGTGCAAGAACTGGTCATGCAAACAAGTAATTTTCTGAACTTGATAAGTACCAGAAAGTTTGTGTTCACTGCCACGTCCAGGGGAAGGGGAACTTTGGTCTCTTCCTGACTCATAGCAACCTTCACAAATGAGAATTTTGTTGAGTCTTAACAAGTCTGAGTAGAAGTTTCACAAAATACCCAGAGAGCCAGGGCATTCCAGATGCAGCATCTCACAGGAACAGGCGGAGAAGTATGCTGAAGGCAATCACAAGCCATCTGGAAACTAAGGAGAGACAGACCCAAGCAAAAATGAGATTATGAATCACATAAAAGTCCAGGCCTGCTAATAAGGCAGTGAAGAGCTGTACACGTGCGAGAAGGACAGAAGCAGGATCAGCTCCTGGCTTTGGATAGATCATGATAATCGATAATCACGTAAACAGAAGTCAGAAGTGTAGGGGTCTGGCTGCAAGGGAACTGCAACACTTGCTACGGGCAGAAATAAGTCTGAACTAAGCTATCACACTGTCGTGGGGCAACAGGGGCTGGCTCAGTAACCACTGCAGAGGCAGAATTAACGGCTTCAATTTATATCAGATAGAGAGATTGAGGGCAAGGAAGACTAAGACAGAAAAATAGTCCATTTCCTGGCAAGATGCAAAGGGACAGGATCTCTTCTACACTGTTGGTGGGAGGTAAACTAGTACTGCCACTGTGGAAATCAGTATGGAGGACCTCGAGAAATCTAACCATACAGACAACTATATCTTCTGGTTTAGATCTAGAAAGTCCCCCAAAGTCTCTTGTGTCCAGAGGCAGTGGGGCTTTTAGAAGAGGACTGGATCATGGGCACCATGAACATCGGTGGGTCAGTCCAAGGAAGAGCCCAGAGCTGGATGTGCTGTTAGGGCACAGCCTGGTGTGCAGAGGCGGGTCCTTGTCCTTGTGACCTGGGAGGTGCATGTCCCTCCCCGGCTCCTCCCTCCTCCCCCACTCCCTGGCTGCTATGAGATGAGCAGATTTCCTCTGTGGCCAGCCCTTCCTCCATGCCATTTCCGCCAACTATAGATGGAATCTTCTAAGACTTGTGAGCCACAATAAAACACTCCTCCAAGCTGTCGGTGTCAGGTATTTTGTCCCAGCATGAGAAAGTGACTAAGGCACCTTCTGACCTACCTGCCCCTCTGCAGTATATTCCCCAAAGAATCATGGAGAGCATGCTGTGGAGATTCCTGCATGGCTCACTTCTCAACAGTTAACTATGGAAACAGCCTAGAAGCCTGTCAAGAGAAGAATGGATAAAGAAAAATGTAATACATATACACAATGGAGTATTATTCAGCCTTAGAGAACAAAACCATGTCATTTGTAGGAATAGAACTAGAGACCAACACGTTAAGCAAAATAAGCCAAATGTCACATGTTCTCTCTCATATAATGAATCTAGGGAGAGAAAGAAAGCGATGACACAAAGTAGAAAGAAGACTCTTGGACAGGCGGAAGGGGATCCCGAGGCAGGAGGAGGGTAATGAGGAATGAAAACAATCTCGCATGTTATATGCATGCACCAAGACACCAAAACGAAACTCCTTATCCTGTACAAGTACTAAGCACCAACAAAATCCGTTTAGAAATGTATTTTGCTTACCCTATAATGTCGTAGAAATGAGCTGAGATGATGAATAAGAAAATGCTGGGAGAGAAATCACATAAGGCTGTGTACGTGTAACTCATTTTTATTATCACAAGACCTTCTTACCAAATACTGTTTCCCTTCATTCTCGAGTGCGAGGCCGTGGGTCAAATGCACTGTGGACAAAGCTGAATCATGACAAGGACCAATGTGCAACACACGAGCTTGAACACAGGTGTTGCTCCTCTGCAGCCGTTCACACTGGGGCGGGCTCCTCACTGCAGAGAGGTCTTTTGTGAAAGAAGCGGAAGGATTGTTGTTTCTGTTTTCTCTTTTGCATCATTTCTTCTCTTGCTTCTCTCACCTCCCCCTCCTGGATCCCCTTCCCATCTCGATCCATTTTCACTGTGTCCACCCATCCGCCCGCCCTCTCCACAGCCATTCCTACCCGGTGGGACGACACCTTGACTGAGTGGTTCTTGATTATATTCATCAAGCCTTTCCCTGCTGAGAATTTCACAAGGACAGTTCACTGCCACCAAGGTCAGCTGCCCAGGAGGGTGAGGCCGCCTTGCCCGTGTTTTCTTGCACACACTCGTCAGAGAGGAATAACCTTCCAGACCTTCCTCCACCACGTGGCCGACAGCCCTCTACGGAGAACGAGCAAGGTGAGTAGCAGAAGATGTTCAATGCGTGAGTCAGGCTTTGAGCCTCACTCCAGGGGCAAGCTGCCAAATTGAGCATTTCAGTAATTAGCAAAACATCTGTAATGGGGTTCGTGTGTCAGAAACAGCTGTCACCCTGGTCATCACTCGGAGAAGAGAGGAGGAATTTGGATGTGGATTTCACTACAGCCCAGCTGTTTCCCATTTGAAGAAAGGATAAAGGGTAGACACTGAGTCAGTGGGAAAGCATCAAGACAAAAGTGAAAAAGGACAGGATTTCAAATCACACTGGCCCCAGTTGACTGGAATGCATACCACTGGCATGCGGTGAGCAAAGCTATCTTGCTCACTGCAGCACTGGGATCTGGCCACCCGTTGCCAAAAATGTCCCAGTAAAAATATTTATATGAAAACAACACAAAGGCAGTGGTAAGAGTGCTGCTGGCCTCTTCCAGTTTGACCCCATCTCTCCACAAGGCTGAGCACCTAGAAAATCTCCTTCCCTCTGTAAATGATGCAAGAGTTTGGGTTCCATGAGGTGATTTGAGAACTTCCTCTGGGCTCCCAACCTTCCCAGATGAGGAGGACCAAGAGAGAAGCACTGGAGACTGCAGGAATCTTTTCTTGGGAGAGCCTGTTCCTACTGAGAAAGGCTGGCGAATCCCTGCAAGACTGCTCTGGCTCTCTATCCAAGAAAGATGGCAGGCGGAAATCAGCCATCCAAGCAAGCAGTCAATCCACAAACACTGAAGGATCTCAGACTACCCTAGAAGGCAAAGCACTGAATACAAGGATAATGTGGAAATAGACAACTAGGTTCTTGCCCTGGTAACCTAGGGGAGATAAAATATGTGAAGACGATTGCCCAGATAATTATTTAAATTGCAATTATCATAAGTTTTGGAAAAGGCAACTGGCCAGTGAATTCAGTTCTGTCACAGTTCTGACAGACTTAGGCTACTCTGGGCAACACTGTTGGTCCTTAAGTCAGGCCCAAAACTTCCAGTGTCCAGTACAAGTGATCCTTGGACTGTCCAGTCCTTCCTGACGCCATAACCTGAGGCCCTCGGGCTCCGGCCCTGCTACAACTCTCTTCTGCATTCCCTCCTCGCAGTATCTACTCAGCGTATGACTCAGCCGCTCCTGCTCTGCCCTTCTGCTCTTAGTGACCAGAGTATTATTTCCCTATTCTCAGAACCCAAGGAAACAGCTTGCAAGAGCAGGCCAGATGAGAATAACTTCATGCAGGGGATGGCAGTCTCAGGCCTGAGGTAGACCCAGAGCAGGCCAGAGGGACAGGTGGAGCAAAGCTTTGGCCAGACTTCGCTGGAGACCCAGCTTCTCTTTGATGGCCTGTGCCACCTCGACCAGCTATGGCTTCTCGCGCTTCCGTACTTCCTCTACCTCTCAAAATCCTATTTGTTCTTCAAGACCCAAGGTCATTATTGCCCTGTCTGGGATTGCTTGCTTTCTACTTGCTGGCAGGAAGCTTCCTTATGCTCCTATATTTCATACTTCTCTTCAGATATCAGAGACTTTTTTATTTTGCTGACATTTTCTTTGGGTTCCAACTCAAATGGAGCCCTGTCTTCCGGGCCATGTATTCTGTGGCCAGTTCTCCGTACTCTATGCAGCCAGCAGTGCAGAACTTAAATACTTAATACGGGTCTGCAGGTCCAAGACAGCCTGGTTTTGAGTCTCCTTGCCACCATTTATCAGGAAACAACTCCCTCATATCACTGAAAAACAGTAAACAGTGGCCTCACAGGCTTGCTAAGAACAATTAATGCTTCCTGGCGGTACTCGGTAAGAGTTTGGCTCGTTGCTCCTCTGAAGAAGTTTTCACTGAATTAAAATAAATTGAAATTAAAGAAAGTGAAATTGACAAATTCCCCAAATTGGGCTTTGATTTCTTGTAATTCAGGTTCTGCAATCTCAGCCCATCTGGGCCAAACTTGTTTCTGTAAAGTTCTCTGTGTGTGTGTGTGTGTGTGTGTGTGTGTGTGTGTGTGTGTGTGTGTCTGGGTACTGCGCCCAGATCCCTCTCAGTGTGCTAATTCCTAGCCCTTGTTTTTTTCCCAGGCTGGGCTCCAAGTCACAATCCTGCTGCCTCCGCCTCCCAGAGTGGTGGGATTATGGATTGTGCTGGGCTGCCAGGGCTCTATTAAAACCCATCGGGTGCATCACTTACACATTTGCCATGGCTTCCTTCACATTACACTCATAGAGTCTAATAGTTGTAGTAGAGAACAGGCAGCCACAGCCAGCAAAGCCTAAGATCCTTCACTCTTCACAGAAGTCTACTAACCTGCGATTTCCAGGGGAGTTAGGGCTCCACCTCCAGGAAACCCTACAAACCTGCAAAGTTGCCACCTCCAGCAGGTGACAGCCGAGCCGCTGGCTGGCGCTGCTCCCATGGTGTCCGAGGTCGAGTCACCAGGGGGTGGGAAGTGAGGGAAGAGAGACAGGTGGTCTGGGCCCAGGGTCTGCCTCAAACAGTGGGATCAGCTGCGCTCAGCTCACGATGCTGAGAAGTGGAGGCTGAGCCAGAGGAGGAGGGGCAGCACCAGGACTGCCAGTTCCTGCTGCTGGAGGGTCCCCAAGACTAGAGGCTGGGGTCCGAGGTCCTATCCCAACGCCCCCAAATTCCGACAATGCAACCCAAGGAAACCGAAGGGGAAGCTGAAGAGAACTGAGTGGGGAGGAGGGAAACAAACCTGGCAGAGGGCTGAGAACAAGCGCTACTTAAAGGGTCCCTCGGGAGTGAAGGGACCCTCGCTGCTGTTGGGCGTGGTGTTCTCTCAGGGTTACCTACTCCCCTGCTCCCTCCTGTCCTCCGCTTCCCGCCCACCACTACACGACCGGCCGGCTTTCCTTCGGCCAGGCCCTCTGCTGCGTTGTTTCTTCTTTGGACCTGAAATGTAAACCAAAATCAACTTTCTCTCCTCCTGAAGTTATGGGCATCAGGCCTTGTGCCAGGGCCGAGAGAGACAGACGGAGACTCCCGATGTGGGAGCCACGGTGCCAACTTCCCTTTGCAGCCCGCAGGACAGCAGGGGACACCAGCAGCCCTTCTAGAACGTCGTGAGGCAGGACCGTGGGCCGGATGCTCAGGGAGCCGGGCCGCTTGCTCCGGACCTGCAACGCTGGCCGGCCCAGCACCTGGGCAGCCACGCTGTTCTCACACAGCTATTCTTTAATCTTGAGGAAGCCATGACGAGAAAGAAACAGTCATCTCCACTGTGCCAACGAGCAATCCCGGCCCCAGAGTGGCCAAGCGTCTCGTCCCAGCGCCTTCCCCTGCTGGGGGAAGTGGGAGAGAGCTGGGTCCATGCTGGGTGCTGTCTTAGGAACTGAGCTGTGACCGGGTAGAAAGGTTGGAAAACCACTGCTTAGCACAGGGACTTTCTGAATGTCAGTAGAAGAAGGACAAAAACTTACAAAACAATATCATTTACCCAAATTTAGTTTATGATGTTCCAAGCACTGGACAAAGAGCTGTGGATACGCCACTTACTCTGCACAAAAGCAACGAGTGAATTATCATCACAAGCTCTGGGTTACAGAGGGAAAACAGACCGTCACAGGCAAAGCACAGAGATTTGCCTAAAGTCCCCAGCTACTAAGTACTGGGGCACCACCCTCCTATCCAGCTCTGCGCCCTAAACCATTCTGCACAGAATCCAGGCAAGAACTCACCTGTAGACATACCAGGGCCAGAAGAATCCCTCTGGCAAACAAGCTGCATTTTAAACTGCTTGGACTTTTTATTTTCCCTCTTCAAGGTCCCTGAAAATCCATTCCTCGTGAATCTCTTATTTTTCCACTGCATTTAAACACCTCCCAGATGGCTCCCATTTCAAATGTTTTGAAAAGCATTTTTGCAGGTTTCTTCCACAGCAAAATCAACAAGATCATCAAAGCCAGACCTGTTTATTCTTTTTCTTCCTTGCTTCAAGTCAAAAAAAGACACTGGGAAAGGATACAGTGGAAATAAGAAAAAAATAACTTGGGGAGTAAGATTTTAGTGCAACACAGGGCTCATGGCTGGTAATCATTTTAAATGACTCGAGCAGAGGAAACAAAAATAAAGAAGGAGAGAAGAATCAGCATTCTGAAGGCTCCAGCACCAGGAAGCTGAGACAAGAGAGCCAGAACTGCACCTGAGAATCACAGCTGCAGAAATCCAGGGGCTGACGGCTCAAAGCTACCACCAAGTTGCTTCCAAACTCTGCCCAAGACAGCGCACATTTATCAGCAGCCTGAAGGGCCTCAAGGCAGAAAATCTTTAAATACCTAAGCCATATTTTAATTCTGAAAGGGCACATCTTGCTACAATTCAACCCATCAATGGGTCTTTTTTTTTTTTTTTTTTTTGTGGGCCATAACCGAAATGCTTTGTCTTGAAGGATAATCTAACACTTTTCTGGACTTGGGGTTAAGAATGCAGGCTCTGGAATCAGCTGTTGGGTTTTTTCATGTTGGTTCCAGCAGTTCCTTTTGAGACATGAGCCTTGGATGAATTATCTAGATTCCTTACACCTCCATCTTCACATCTGTAAAATAGGACTGATGATAGCTCAAGTCTTACACACTCGTTACTTGGGTTCGTTGGAAGGGTGAGCACTTGGGATGATTTCTAACACTAGCAAACATTCGAAAAAATTAGGAACTATCATTATTTTTCTTTTCCTTTTGAAAGAAAGACAAGATTTCCTTTTTTGAAAGAAGGACAAGGTTCTTTTTCTGAGTAAAAATCTGAAAATAGACCATCCTACAGTTTGAGCCTGTGGAGAATCACATTTTTAAGTACGATTATGTTCATAGCTTTGAAAAAGTGTTGCTTACCCAGGCCCATCCTTCCTTCCAAGTGGCCCAGTTAAGACATTGAATGTTCCCATATTCTCAGATTCTTGCTCCAGAAACAAGACCCTCTGGTGATGTCTCCGTGCTTCACCCATCTCCACCTCAGGCCCAATCCCCAACAGTCCCTCTCTCCAGAAGGTTCTCAGCCTCCAGATGATACTTTGCTGACAGTCTTGTTAAAGGATTGAGTGAAGTGATAAATCAAAGCTCCACCTGAGTTCCCAACACACAGTAAGACTGCTACATCTCAGTGTCTAAATATTCATATTAATATTCTTCCCTGCTTCTCGAAAGATCCCTGATCTCTGCCCCTTCCATGCTCTGCTGTAAGGAGGGTTATCCTGGCCACACGGGATGCCATTCCAAACACCTCAACTCTGAGGACGAGGAACAGCGAATGACTTTCAGTGAGTGCCTGGACTAGCACCGGTGTCATCTGCCCCGCGGCATCGGTGACCCCGCTCCTGCCTGTCCTGCCCACATCACAGCTCTTCTGACCCCAAGTTACTTCCGTAAGCGACACGGTCGTCTCCTGGTGAGTCCGTGCGCTCCTCCCTCGAGGACAGATGCCAGTTGTGTATCTCTTCACCCCAGGACCTCATCCCCCACCTGATACAGATATGCACATTCACATTCAGTACGCATGATAGGCATGTATCCAGACTTATGTGTATAAACACATGATAATAATACATACTTACATGTGTAGACAGAGAAGCCCCTGGGACCTGGTTCAAAGGACAGCTCAAAGACGGCTCTGTCGGGAGTCTGCCTGGGGACGAGCCACATCCTAACAGGTGGCTGATTTTCAGAGGTCATACATGTGTGCATAAGCTAGGGAGTTTGATGTACTTTACCTCAAAACTCTGAATGAACACAGGCCTGTCACTCTCCCAAGAAACTGCTTAGCCTCTAGCTAGGCAGCTAGTACATTTCTAGCCAGCTTCCCTGGGGCCACTTAACAGAAAATCCGAAAGACCACAATGGAAGCAGCCTGCAGCTGCCATCTCATCCCTGACTGAGCCTCCAGCATGATTGTCCACTGGGCCCTGGGCCCCGCATCCCTCTGGGGTGGTTGCTTAGAATATTAAGCAAAATCCCAGCATTCATGTGTGACATCGTCCACTTTTGTTTTTGGCATCAAGCCTTTTGCTTCTTGATTTTTAATAGAAACCAGACATCACATCATTGGTGTGTCACCAACAGCAGAGCCAGACTTCCTGTCCTCCGGGAGGCTCCGATGGCCTTGAAAGTCCATAGAGGCGGTCACGTGGGAACCCAGTGCAAGTGTATGCAGGCTAGAAAGTGCCAGGTGCACGGGCCCAAGATACAAAGTCAGATTTGCTCAGAGGGGTGGGACAACTTATGAACTGATCTTCAAGAAAAGCCTGTTTTCCAGGACAGATTCATTCTTGGGTAAATAGAGATTTGCCATTTATACACCAATATCTGTCTATGTGCAAGAATTGCAGGAAAGGAATACATATGTATTTACACACACATCTAGATATGGTGCATGCAAGTCACAAGTTTAAGAGTAAGATGGTCTTCTGGAATAGATTAAAGCTATATTAAAGTAGAGATGACTTACGACATACTGATTGCGTAGATAAATAAGAGAAAACTGTGAGAATATTAGAGTCCCAGGAAAACTAAGCCTATGAAAGTCTTCTGGTTCAAAACATCTGTATGGTTTTTCCTTGAGCTACACATTTTCATGGAAGAAGTCTGTCTAATTTGCAATTAAAACACCCTGTCATTTGCAAATCGCATCAATTCTTTGGTGGCTTTGCTTGAACACTATGTCAAACACACTTAAGAAGAGGAGTGCTCCAAGCACAGTTGCCCATAGGATGAACACTGTAAATCAGCCCCGAGAGGCCCAAACTCCATGCACCCCCAAAGCTCATGAAGCAGCTGGAGCTGGGGAGGCGGCCAGAAGCCTGCTGAGTCTCCTGAACAATCGCTGAGAGCGTTCCCACTCTGGCACAAGGAGCACTTGGAGAGAGAAAGCCTTTCACGTTCCAAGGGGTAAAAGTAATAAGGGCATTGTCTCATGATGCTTGGTCATCGTGTTTATTTGGACAATAAAAATACCTAATATTACTTTTGGATAATCTTGATGACATGAAATTTTATTGTTATTGCACATAATAGAGTGAAAGATGCATCTGGCACACACACACACACACACACAAAATAGTCTTCCAGATTTAGGGCAAATTCTTCTTACTAAAAACTTTGAGATGAAAAAGAATAACATCTGAATGAGCAGAGTGGAGTAGTAGTAATGTTGATTTACTATGTGATTGTCTCCAGGTATTCTCCAACAGCCTTATGGTGAGAAGTTCTCACCATTTTATAAATGAGCCCAAAGGTCTCACACTCAAAGAAATAGCAGCTATGTTCAGGACGAGGTCTTCCTAATTCCAGAACACACACACTTAGGCGTGCATACCTAAACATCATCCCAAGCCTGCTGTCAAGGAAACAAGATGGCCAGCTGGAAGAGTTAGAAGTCATCTGTTAGTTCTGGTGTTCAAGGGCATCTTTGAAAACACTGAAAGTGGATTCATGTATTGTTTACATATAATAGTAAAATAGGACAGAAACTAATTTCTTGAAATAACTAATGGCCAATACTCTCTTACAAAACAATAACCTGAATAAACTTACTTTTATTTTTAAAAGTAAATTGTAAATATTTACCCACAAAGAGAATCTCAGGTGCAAGTAGTGAGGTTTACCAACATTTAGGGGGAAAAAAATGTACCAGTTTTACCCATTCTTGCAGAAAGTGGAAAAGGAGGAGAGACTTTCAACTGCTTTCGAGAGGCCAGCACACTTGAGGCCAAACCTAGGGACACTGCAATAAAAGAAACCTACATGCTGATATTTCTCCTGATTTTTCTCACTGATGCAAAAATCTTTAAATAAATATTGGAAAATAAAATTTGGCAATGGAGAAAAAAAGGGTCCTCAGTGATTATTCCACAAATGCAAAGTGATTTTAACATTTGAAAATCAAGCAATATAGTCACCTTGTTAAAAACATTAAATAAGCATATGTGGATTACACATACAAAACCTTCTTAGATCCAGAATGAAACATCTGGCAACATTCAATAATTGTTCATGATAGAACTAACCAAAAAGGAAAAAGAGAAACGTTTCCACCCATTAAATATTACCTACAAACACCCCACAGATAATAGAACTGCTGGAGAGGGAGAAAATGCTTCCCACCTGCAATCAGAGGGAGGCAGAATACCCTGCCATCCCCACTTCACTCGGATTTGAACAGGGATCTCAGCCAGTACAAAACATGAGGCAGGGTGAGGGCAACCACGGAGCAACAAAAGAAGACAGAAAACATCTTCATTTTCAGATGACGTGATCAAATGCAAAGAAATGCCCTTTCCAATTACCAAAAATGAAAATGCTAGAAGTGACAAATGAGCTTCTCGGGTCCCTGATGTGGTGGTCATGGAGACCCCGTGTGACAGTCGGTTCACCCCTTCCCTGTCACAATCCGGTAAAAGCAGCACTCCTCACAACACTGCCAGACAGTGACGTTTACATTAATTTGCCTTCTCAGCATGCACACCTACTACATCAATAAAATAAACGACCACGGTGGGCTTTGGGGGCCCTGCTTCTTGAGGCAGTGGAGTCTGAATTGCTTTTTTATTAGCCCATGTTCGCAGCGCGTAATGTTTGCACTCCTCGTGCGGTGTTTGTACGTGTACACAATACATCGTAATTCCTTTTTTCATCTCCTCCCCTCCCCTTGCTCCTCCCTGTATCTCTGGCTCCCCTTTCCAATTTAGACAGCAAAGCATTGCATTCGCTATGCAATGACACTGTGCTATAGAATACAATATGGCATCAAGGCTGGGCCTGGTGGTGCGTGCCAGTATTCTCAGCACTCTGGGAGGCTGAAGCAGGAGGATTGAAGGTTTTAGCCCAGCCTGGGCATCCTAACAATTTAAGAAACCCTGTCTCAAAATCAAAAAGGGCTGGGATGTAGCTCACTGGGAAGGCCCGAATTCAGTCTCCAATACCAAAAAGGGAAAAAAGGAAAAGAATACATTGTGATAGCATGACTAGGTTAAGCATTTATCATAATAGCTACAACTCACAGGAAAGCAATGGTCAAGAAACTCGGGATATTTAAACTGAATATCTTATCACAACAAAATCCCTTCTCAAAAATATTTTTTAAAAAATAAAGTTATAACAAAGTAAGTTTCCAAAGTCGTTCCTTTGTTGGTCAGCCAAAAAAGAAAACCATCTATTGATGTTGAGTTAAATACCGGTCACAGCACCCAAAATGAAACAAAAACGCTAGTTGTTCAAAGAATTGGGAACATTAAGAACAACATTAGTCATCAATTAAATACAAAAC